TCTCCAGCGGCGCCTGTGCTGTTCGTCTTTCAGGACTGGGTGCCCTCCGTGCGCCCGGGCTCTCCCCGCTGCGGGGTGTGCGGGAGGGCGCTGGCGCACCTGGTGCAGGTGTACTGCCCGCTGGACGGGTCCCCCTTCCACCGCGTCGCCAACGTCTTTGCGTGTGCCGGGAGGGGCTGCTGGGGAGCGCCCCGGAGGTGAGGACCTGGTTTGCGGATGTATTCCTGAGCGCGCGCAGCTCAACTGCGGCTAATGATTGCCACTTCGGCTCAAGTGTTTTGTTCCTTACATCTCTGTGGTTTTTTTTTTTTACGCGGCACGTTGAAGCTGGAAAGTGCTGCGCTCCCAGTATTTGCAGGCACGAGGAGAGGAAACACAAGATTACAGCGTAAAACAGGTATAACTAACTGGCAAACGGCCTTCTTGGGTTCTGTCCTTTGTTTCAGTGTGCTGTATGAAGTGCAATATTGAGGAGGTTTTAAAATAAAAATGCAGTTGAGTTGGATGAGTTTCGCACTTGTATATACTTGTTTAAGTAACCATAACCTTTCTCAAGAAGCTGTGCTATATGCTAGTTTTGAGTCATGTGTGTGGTCACGTAGAGAAGTCATGGCTGTGGAATTTTTGACACCTTGAGTACTACACGTTGTTTACTAGAAGATTAACTTCTTGTTTGTGATCTGTGTTAGGCTTGTTTGAAAGTGGAGATGGCAGTCCAGCTGTATGGTCAAAACTGATATTTAAATTACTTGAGCTACCTAAATGTTATTTTTCAACTTTAAATGATTGGGCTATACTGTTTAGGTTTGGATCTTTAAGATATTTTCTTTATTTTCTAATTTAAATAGATTTTAAAACTTTTATCATCAGTTTTAATTAATCTGACTCAACTATGGTTAATATACTTCTGGTATTTTTGCTTGTGAAGAAAAACTGCATGTTGGCTTAAGAAGATTGAAAGAGGAGGATGGCTGTGAAACTAGTGATGACAGGCAGAAAGTGCTTATTCAGCTGGTGCATTTGCAATATGAAATTTTGGTCTGTGGTAAATGATCTTATACTCTGATAAAATGATCGTATTGTCTTCGTTGTCGTTGTTGTTATTATTATTATTTTCCTCCGTATTCTGCCCTTTGAGCTTACCTGTGATGCAGTAACTGTGCTTCAGGTAAACGTACCCAAAGTAGCTGTCAGTGGTCACGCCAGCAGTAAAAGTATGGCAATATGATGTACAAAGGCCATTCAGAAAGCCAATGACTTCTTGTTCTGTTTCTCCAGTGTGAGATGTTTTTTGCCATAACTGTCTGCTGTGAAAAGTAAACATGGGTATGTGGGTAAGGAAACTTTTCACTGTGAGGAAAATAGGCAAAATAACACTAAACATTAGGTTAAGGTTTTAGTTTTCTTATCTGTTATGAAACTGTATTTGAAGTACATTAGGGTGGCTGATCTTGACAATGTTCTTTTTCCTTTTTTTTTTTTTTTTTGTTCTCAGAAACAAGAATCGAACTTTGCTGCAAAGGATTGGTGTGATGAAGCAGATGACTGGGGAGTCTGTGATGTAACAGAACCTCCTGCGTGTGCCTCTCTTCAGGTGCTTGGCTTAAATAAAGCGGTGAGCAGCTCCTTGTCCAGAGAGGTGGAGTGTGCATCCCAGTTCCAACGGCTTCGCTTGTCTGAAGCTACGGATGGCTCAGGTTCCCTGAATACACATCCTCCAGTCAGTGAGGGAATGGTAATGGCAACATCTAGTTCAGCTCCTGTGTTCCAGCCCTTTTACATTAGTGTTGTGGATGAGGAAGACTACGCTGGTTTCCTTGATACAGATCATGCAGATAAGCTATTGAAGGAGTATCAGCAGAGAGAGGGTGTTGATTTGGAACAGCTGATGTCAGAAAGGTGAGAACAGGTCTGGATTTCATGCTGAAACTGAAGGGATTACGTAGTTTCCTGTATGCTGACTGATAATCTAAATCTGACTCTCACTAAATCTGAATGTTCTTTGTTCGTAACTGGGTCCTTCAGGAATCGTTGGTGTGTAGTACTTTGCCGGAAGAACATAACAATGCACCCAGTTCTGTCAAATTTTGAGTTACTCAGAGATGCATCTATTTCTGAGTGACTGGGCAGTTATAATGTCCTTGGGCTCCAGATAGAGCAGTGGACTGTCAATTGTGTGGTTTAAACAGTACCTTTTGCTAAATGGCATGAGTTTATATTGTGACATTTGACTTTTTTTTCCTGACAAGGCTAAAGCTTTTCTTATATGGCAATTGCATTTTTAAGAGTTTAATTACTTAGGGATTTTGACTAGAGACTGGGATGATGGTAAGACTCCCGAAGATTTTGTAAAGGTTTTCTGAAAAACAATTTTGAACGTAGTTACTGAAAATATTTTCAGTATTAACTCAGGTGATCACAGTGAGCACTCATATCCAGACCATTTCTCTTTTGATTATATTAACATGTACAGTGATGTTTCCTGAATTGTGGACACATTGAATTTTTTGATAACTAAAGCTACTGTCAGTTGCAGAATCTGCATAGAATGCTTTTTAGTAGTGGTGTTTGTTGACCTTTATAGAATCATAGAACTTTAATTACACTTAATTCAAAATCTAAACAGACAGCATCGTAATTTAAAAACTAGAAAAACTTCTGAGAAATTACTAAAGGAATGATTTTTTTAAGGAATAAGCAGGTATCTGGTGGATTTGAATCTCATGTGGTAGTTTGAAACACTGTTAGTATCTGTAAGCCGCCAGAACCGAAGAACTAGAAGCAAAATGGTTCATTTGCAATCTCTAACAGGAATTGCCTCTTAATTTAACATGTATAGTTTTTTTCAGTGTACTTAGTATAATTTAATATGAATGTATAGTAACCATTGCTTATTTAAAGCATGCATTACGTACTGAAAACCTTATTGGAAATTTTGTTTCTTTTCTTGTTTTCTTACAGTTTTGCAGGTGAAGGTGATAATGAAAAATACGAGAAGAGTGAAGTCATAAGCAAGGACCACACATTCCATAAATTTATGAAAAGAATATCTGTGTGTCATGAACAGATTCTAAGGTATGTTGATCATCTGGTTGTAACGGGGAGATACAGAGCATAGACATGGATTGTTAGTACATCAAAATAAACCATTTCATTGGAAATAGATGTATATTTTTGTTTCTTAATTAAAAAAAAATTGCTAAGAGGGCTGTTACCATGCCTATGTGGTCAGACTTAAGTCCCTGGTTGGGCTTTTTCATACAAAGTATAAGTAGATGAGAAGCAAAACAGGATCAGAGACCTGGCTATGGGAGACTTTCTTCAACGTAAGGCTTGATAAGAACAGGCCCAGACTGTCTTTGAAGACTCGCTGAAATCCAGACATGGAGGTTTTCAAGAGACAGTTTTGAGATGGAAGTATAATACATAGTGATCTGCTGTTGTGGTAGATTTCCAAGGCTATATGCTCCTCTGAAATTTTGTAACCTCATTGTGATTGCTTGTGTGTCAGTCTTGAGATGTTACTGAAGTAAGAAATTACTCATTTTAAAGGCTGAGTTCTTCTGCATCTTATTGTGATTACCCCTGGGGACCCTGCAGTCTTCAGTTCTTGTAAATCTGTTGCTTTTCCTAGAACAAAAGCAGATTTCACCTCAGAGCAGCTGCTTTCCTGAAAGAGGAGTTAATTCTGAATGAAAGTATAACAAAGAGTTCAAATCATACATTATTCATAGTACCAGATAATACATATGGTTTTCATGAATCATACCAAGTGTTAGTTTTTAACTTCTTTGTTCCAGAGAGTCCAATGCAGCCTATGTGGTCAAGCTGTCTCAGTGTAGTGACAGGACCTTTGTTTATCAAGTTTCCAGAACCAGGTGGAACTAACTGGTATCTTTTTGATGAGGAGGTAAAGTCTGAGGGGCTGGTTACACAGATAAGAAACATTAGAAACTTCCATTAATTATCTATCAAAGATTATACAGAAAATGTATTAATGCAGAGTGCGAGTAATGTTTTCAGACACTTTTTTTTTTCACTGGATCTATCACTTTGCAGTATTATGCTCTTTGAATTTTCCATTCTTCCAAAACATTACGTCTGGTGATTCCTATGACTATCACTAGTTACAATCTTTATGTAGCCCTCCCTTTCCCCTTCATGGGTATTGTGAGTATGCCTGTTAGACCCCCATTTCTCCTGGGCTGCCAGATCTCCACTGAGCTTTCAGCACAGCACAAAATCCCTTGCTTGGCATTCAGTGGAAACCATCTTTGATCTTGGTTTCCTGTTAGTTATGGAACTATGATAGCTCTTACAAATAAAACATCAGTTCTGTGGCATAACTACAGTGGTTTTGAGAGCAATTCAATGTTGAATATCTTTAACTGCCACTGGTTAGGATTCCATTTTTCAGGAAAGTGTAGTTTGCTTAATTAAGTGAGTCAGGTACAGGACATTTTGGAGGTGTCAATTCAAAGCATGTGTCTCCTTTAAATCCAGCTCTTTCCTTAAGACTTTCCAAGTGTTGACCTTCCAAGTATTTTCCCCTCCCCATCTTTATTCTTTGTTTAATAACTCATCTGAAGCTTAGGCAATGATTCTGGCTCATAACAATGTTTTTTACTTCAAGCAAGTTCAGAGGTTTCAGAGAATGAACACTGTTGCCAACACGTGAAATTTAGATACAAAAAAAAAAATTACTTTTTTCCTTTCTTCCCTTAGATACTCTTGGGGTGGCCAGCCTTTATTCATAACGTGTCCTCCAGCCAACATTAACAAAGGTATTCCAGCCTGCAGTAACTGTGGAAGCAACAGAATATTTGAATTTCAACTCATGCCAGCGCTGGTCAGCACGCTCCAGAGTGATTCAGGTGTTGACCTTTGACTTAGCTGAATGAATGATAGAAACAGTCACCTTCTTGGTAAAGTTTAGTCAACTGCAATTTGGATTGTTTCTTGCTAATCACACGCACTGACGTGCTTAACTACAGTGGTCATCTTACATAGAATCCACTGTTTCCATTACAGATTTCATTAAGCAAAAGATATAACTGGTTTATGGAGACTCTTATGATTGCAACTTCATTTGCTCACTAGTGAACTTCAATAATAGCGATATAGATAATTCCATGACCTTGGGAGTAATTTATCTTTATCGCCTCTTAAATGAGGCCTTGGAAAATAATAAATATTGTCAGATAAGATTGGAGACGCTTAAGAAGCTCTTTGAAAGTTCTGAGTCAGCTAGCTTTGAAATCTTTAAAATTAGAAAACGCTAAAATGCTAGAAGACTCAATATGAAAAATATTTTCTGAATTGGCAAAGATTGAAGTATAGCAATAAGCAATAGCCCCTGATAATATAATTTTTCATACCTTTACATTACATACCTTTATTGCTTTGTTTTTAGATCTGTCAGTGGAATTTGGAACTGTTATAGTTTACACATGTGAGAGAAGCTGTTGGCCAACAAATCATCAAACCCCTCTTGAAGAATTTATTTTTGTACAAGAAGACCCGGATCAGAGATTGTTTAAATAAATTGTATTTCTCCGCATAGATGGAAAGTCTGTTGGGTTTTTTTTACTACAGGTGTGTAATTACGCAACAGAATTTTCCTCGGATGGTGAAAAATGAAATTCATTTGATGACATTGTGCTTATTTTCAAGAGTAACTGATTGAAGAATATATTGGCATGCCTCTAAAATGCGGCAACAGAAAACTTGCATACTTTGGTTACACATGGAAATGTAAGTATAGAGATTGTTTCATGATTCTGGATACACTTAACATTTGGGGAGGAAAGTAAAGAGAAAGATTGTTTTACTGCAGTTAGTTATACTGTTAGCATTCATCAGCCAAACAGGATCCAATTTTTAGAAACTATTAGCAGTGAGGAATTTAATGTAAGCTTGATTTTAAAAGACAGATCTGTCTTGTTTTAACCACAGATTGGAAATTCAGTGGGCAGTGGCTGAAAGGGCCTTGCTGTCACTACAGTCTTCCTATGATGAAGCCTTTCTATATGTTTTTCCAATGAAGGACAAGTTACATTTGCATAGCTAAATGAGCTCTGACAGTCACATTGCTTTGGATGGGGAAAAGATGGAGGTTTTTGTTAGCGCTTTTGTTCTCGCAGGTACAGAATGATGGGGTAGGTGCAGCACCTGCCTTGTTACCGCAGTCTGGTGCTCGCAGGCTAATCGTGCTGCTTCAGTTAAAACAGTCTAAATTCTTCTGTGGAGTTCCCTGTTGGTTTAGGCTAAATGGCAGTATTTTAATTGATTTAATGGAGGAGTAATCTAAGTAAGTGTCGTTAAAGCTTTTTGTACAGGTTTAATCCCGCAGCATAAATTAACGCACTAAAGGTGTGGGTTTAAAAAAAAAAAAGGAGGGGGGAACTAAAATGGTGGAACGTGTTTGCAAAACTGCTTTTTTTAAGGAAGAATTGTACTTTACCATGTCAGCTTCTAGAGGCTCAGTTAACTGAGGCTAACCTATACAAAAATCTTATGTGATACCTTGAATACTGCCAGTGCTCCCCCCGGGTGTCGGCCTGCTCTTTCCCCAGCTGTGGCAGGCAGCCCAGAGGGCACCCTTTGTGGGCCGAGCCCTGGCTGCACCGACGACTGCAGCAGACAGGCGAAGGCCGCCTT